GATGTTAAACAGTGCTGGCCCCAATACTGATCCCTGAGGAATGCCACTCATCACTGGTCTCTACTCAGACATAGAGCTGTTGACCGCAACTCTTTGAATGCAACCATCCAGTCAATTCCTTATCCACCAACTGGTCCATCCATCAAATCCATGTCTCTCCAATTTAGAGACAAGGATGTCATTTGGGACATTGCCAAATGCTTTGCACAAGTCCACATAGATGATGTCAGTTGCTCCTCCCTTATCCACCAACGCTGTACGTAGAAGGCCTGTCACAGAAGGCCACCAAATTTGTGAGGCACAATTTGCCCTCAGTGAAGCTATCTTGGCTGTCACTAATCACCTCCTTATTTTCCACGTGCCCTAGCATAGTTTCTAGGAGGATCTGCTCCATGACCTTGCCAGGCACAGAGGTGAGAATGACTGGCCTGTAGTTCCATGGGTCTTCCTTTTTTCCCTTTGTGAAAATGCGGGTTATGTTTTCCCTTTTCCAGTCAGTGGGAACTTCCCCAGATTGCCACGACTTCTTTAATATGATGTATAGTGGCTGCAGCAGGTGCATCTGCCCCGATAAAAGACCAAAACTTCTTGACCACTGAAAACAAAGAGTTAAAACAAGAAGCCACAGTTTGGGGGTCGGGCTGCCTAGCCCTCATGGTGACTGTGGTCATGTACACACCTCTACCAGTGACGGCCATCATGTACACACCTCAGTCAAGGGATAGGAAAGGCAAGGCCCTTCAGTCAACAGACAAGGCCCTCAGCCAATGAAACACCTCGGTTGAGGGATGTTTCCATCTGCAGTCTGACTGCATCTGCAGTCAGAGACTCTCCCCTTAGAATGGGACACCATCTAAGGAAACTCCCCAGGACTGAGTGCCTCACCTTTCTGGTGAGACATATGCGCATTTTGAGTCATCATTCTAAGCTCAGATTTGGTTATTGTTCGTGTAGTTAGAGCTCCCAACTGACATCCTGAACCTGTAAATAAGTTGTGTTTGTCGCAGTGCTTACAACCTAATACTCCCATCCAGTCTGGCTGTTATATCTCAATACAACGTAACATTCCTGTTCAATTTGACCATTACATTTTGATACCATTAAAGAAAATTTACTTTTAAAATATATTGCTGTCGGTCTAGTGCTTCTGCGACAGTGGCTTAGCCACTTCATC